TAAATCAAAAAAAATTTATTTATGAAATATCAGTTCCAACATGTTCATACCGAATGGGTGTTCAACGTATTGGATATGTTGTTCTTTTACTTGATAGTGGTATGTTTATTCGAATAGGAAAAATTCTTTTTAGTTTTTAATATTATTATTTTAATTTATTAAGAAAGTAAAACTGCTCATTTGACAATTCTTTCAACACCAAGAAGATATTTAGCGTTATGTCTTTATTTAATTTATGCAATACTGGGACTCATTTTTGTAATTTTAACTTCACTTTTTTCACGACGAAATCTAATTCGATTACTTATGCTTTCACGTTTAATGTAGATCTTCTTTGTACATCTATTCTTGTTTTTTTTTGTAAAAGAGATACTGACGATCAAATGGATAAATGATTCTTTTTTTTTTTTTTGAAATAAAACTTTTCTTCTGTTTTATTTCTCACAGATAGTCAGACGTAATTATTGTTCGTACTCGAATCAATGAATAGTTTTTATCGATTCACAAATAAAATATGTATGAATATTAATGTTACTATGATTAGAGCCTGTTGGATTGATCCTGAGCCCAGTCTAAGTTCGAAAATTTTTGGGATCAGCAGGCTCTAACTATGATCCTTTCATTAAAAAAAAGGATAAAATAGAAATCGTAGTGAACTTAGACAATAATTAATATACACATTTTCTATATTAGTTTCCTTTTTTGACACTTCAGTAAACGTATGGTAAATTTCCAATAATAATCAGTTTCCAGTAAATTTCTGATTGTTGATATTTTGCTTATTTATAGAAGAAATTTTTCATCATCACCAGAAAATTAGTCGTCATAAGCTTCTAAGTTTTACTAGAAATCAAAAATCTACTTATATCATCTCTCTAGATAAGCAGTAGAAAACTAAAAACTTATCATGACGAACTCTTAAATCCACAAATCATTTCCCTTTTACATCTGACACTCATCATGTTAATACATAGCTTTCTCGCATAATTCGAATCGAAAAATGAAGAAACACGTTGTATTTCAATCATTATACATGATAGAAAATTCGTTTTCTTTGAATTACACACAGTTGCAAGTGTTCTTTATCAACTAATGATAGAGTTTTCGAAAAACACAGTACTGAAAATGAAAACTAAGACAACT